TGGGGCCTTCCTGGCGAGCGGCTGTGGTTATTCCTGTGGGGCGCGGCGGCGTGGAAGGAAACTCCCTCCCTGCCTGGCTTGGGGGGGCGGGCGTAGCACCCAATGAGGTGCTTCCATGGGCTCAGACGGGGCCAAGCCCCCCGTGCTGCATGGAGACCCCTCGCTGGGGACCTGGGGGCCCTGTGCAGGCAGGGCGGGATGGGGAAGTGCAGCCCCTTTACCACCAGCCTTCAGTTGCACGTCAATTTCGTGCTACGTGGGAACTGGGGCCCGGCGCCCTCCTCCGTCCGGACCCAGGGAGACCCGCTCCTGCTGGCCCCCTCGCTGGGGTCCCCTGGGGTGCCGTGCTCAGGGAAGCGGGGCAGAGCATGCTCGGGGCTGGGAGCCCCCAAGGGAAAGCCCCATGTCTCCAGTGTGCGGGTCCCGACGCGTGCTAGCGTATCAGGACTGCGAAGGAGCCAGGCCTTAGCTCCGCCGCCTGGGGCGAGGCTTCCCCACCCAGCCCCCAGTGCATAGCTGGGCCCCCGTGGGCACGGTCCAGTTCGGGGCCTTGGAGCACCCCCAGGGGTTGTTACAGGCAGGCAGTGTTTTCCCTCCCCTCCTGCTCCTTTCACTCCCTCCCTCTCCCCCACCAAGTATCCCCCCCAGCCCATACACCCTCCCGAGCAGCCCCCTGCCTCTGGTGGGCCCCCCAGCCCGACTCCTAGACCCCAGGTCTCACCAAGGACTCCCCCCAGCCTCTCCGGTCCCCAGGCCCCACCGTGCCGACCCCTCCCAGGACAGGCCCTCACTCTGCTCGGTCCCCAGGCCCCACCCTGCCCACCCCTCCCAGGACAGGGCCTCCCTCTGCTGCCTCCCCTTCCCCAGACGGGCAGGGCTTCTCGCTTCTGCTGGCTCGGGCCACGCTGGGGACTCGCTCGGGCCCCGCTGGGGATCCCAGCAAGCCCCAGGTCCCCAGCCTGGCTCGGGAAGCAGGCGGCGGCTTAGCAAAGGGCTATTTCCCAGCGCTGCCCAGGGACACCTGCACCCTGATTTGTGATCTGGCATCAGCCTGCGATTTCTGCGGCCACAGGGCACGGTCTGGTCACTGCAGCACCTGCTCGGGGGCGTTTCTCTTCCTCCCCTCCCCCGTGTGGGAGGCAGAGCAGTGATCCTGGGGGGCCCCCCTCCAGCCCATTCCACACAAATGCTGCAGGACCAGGCCAGAGAGAAACTGAGGCTCAGACCTGCCGCTGATTGAGGGGGAGCGAGGCAGCCCCATACCTGGCGGAGCAACGTGGAGGTGCCTTCACACAGGTGCCCCTGTGCCCAGGTGAGACTCACCCCCAGGCTGTGGCTGGCCCTAGCTAGCCGGGCAGGGACCAGTGGCTGAGAGTGGGGGGGCATGGCACACCCCTGTATTTGAGGGGCTGCACCCCACAGTTTGGGGGCACTGCAGGAGATACAGGGGTGGGTGCTCAGGGGTGGGGCAGCGCTGACATGGGGTCACAGGACTCGGGAAGGGGCACATTGCGCTGTCCCGAGCGAGGTCCCTGCTCCACCCGAAAGGATCCCCTGGCAGTGACTGCACCCCTGGGGCGTGTGCGCCTCTGTCTGGGCAGCAGCCAGCCCGGCCTGGCTCTTTGGAACCCGGCCCCGGGCCAGGCGGGAGGGGCGGGGAGGCCGTGATGCCGCTGCCCAGTGCAGCCGGCCTGGCAGGGAGGCTGATCGCAAACACGGCGCTGCCACGGGGACCAGCGCGTGTCTCTCTGCCCCTGGAAATAGAGGCCTCGCCCCATTGCAGGGACTAGCCCCCTGCGGTTCCCCGTCTGCAGCGCCTCTGCCAGACCGGGGCACAGACCTACCCAGCCAGGCCTGCCGGTCTCAGCAAGGGCGACTCTTGTGCCTGCCCCGGCACGTGAAGGGCTGCCCCCCATGCCTGCCTGCCCGCTGCCTGGCAATGCCTGTTGCTGTCACACGAGGCAGCAGGAAGACACAGGAAGGGCCAAAAAAAGCCCAAGTCTCTGCAATTGCGAGCGTCAGCAGAAAGAGGTTCCTGTTTTTATTTTAGGGCGCGGTGCCTCTTGCCTTCCCCGGGCACTGGGATGTGGCCGGGGGCGTCCCTGCGCTGCACCACCCGGAGCCTGGCCCACGCGGGGCCTTGTGTTCTCTGTGTGATGGGGCAGAAGGGGCTTTTCATTGTGTTAGCGACCCCGGAAGAGCTGTCTGCCTGCCCGCCAGGCCCCAGGCAGCGCGCCTGGCGTGGGGCGGCTGGCTCTGGGTCTCGAGCGGGCGAGAAGGAAACTCCCGGCGGCTCTGTGAATAGGTGCCTGGAAACTGAGGGGGAAATGTAGGCGTGGAAGGGCCGGGAAACATGCCCAGGGCATTATGGGATAGCATTGGTGGCTTCTCCAGACCGAGTCGGAGAACCGAGGCCTGAGCTATGTCCACACTGCAAAAAACCTGGTAACCAGGTAAACTGAGGCACGCCAGACAAATACTACCTCTAACTCCCTCCAGCCCAGTAACTAACCACAGGACCAACTGCCTAGGATGGGCTGGACTCCCCAGTCCTCGGGGTCTTTGCAGCACGACTGGGTGTCTTGAGAACAGAGCCCGTTCCAGCTCGGAGTGAAGGGCTGGAGGCAGGTGACCTGGCAGAAGGTCTGGCCTGGGCTAGGCAGGAGGTCCAACTGGTTGGCCGTTGTGGTCCCTTCTGGGCTTATAACTCCCATCCCAGGGGGACCCCAGGGCAGGGCTGTGCCACACCAGGCTGGAAAAGCCGGATCCTCCGCGATACTGTGGACTCCTATTAGCGTGTGGCCCACTCTGGCCCCCAGACCCCTTTTTGCAGCACTCCTTCCAAGAAACAAACAACAGGACTATGCAGCTCTTTAAAGACTAACGAGATGGTTAATTAGTCTATAAAGTGCTGCATGATCCTGTCTTGTGTTTCAGCAAGACTAGCCTAACAAAAGGGCTAGCTCAGTGGTTTGAGCATTGGCTTGCTAAACCCAGGGGTCTGAGTTCAATCCTTGTGGAGTCCATTTGCGGCAAAAAATGTGTCAGGGATGGTACTTGGTCCTGCTGTGCAGGCAGGGGACTGGACTCGATGACCTTTCAAGGTCCCTTCCAGTTTTAGGAGCTAGGCATCTCCATTAACCCAACAGGCTGCATCTCCATTACTAGTGGTAGAAATGTAGCCTGTTAGACTGGTGCAGCTGAAACAAAAAACAGGACTGTGTAGCACTTGAAAGATTAACAAGATGGTTTAATGAAGTGGGTCTAGCCCACAAAAGCTCATCACCTATTAAACAACAAACAACTCCCCCCCCCCAAAAAAAACACTCCAGACAGCCACTTCCCACAAGGGTCCTGGTTTTACTCCTCTTTTACCTGGAGAACTCCCTCTCCAAACTCTCCTGTTAGCTGTCCAGAGGTTTAAAAAGAATCCCAGTTTATACTTAAACTTATTCATTAGAAAAATGGAGACAGAAGCCCAGCAGCAGAGTGGGGGCTATCCTGTGTATTGCGTCGAGTGTCACATGTATGATTACCTGCCCTGTGGGCGGGTGGCGTATGTGTGCACCCGTTGCAAAGAGCTCCTGAC